CAAACCGTTGCAGTCTGTCAGTCATATAATGGAAGTGAATGGGAATCACGGCTTTGAGAGTCAAAAAAACATACACAAACAAAACCCAATTAAACCCTGCGGCTCGTGACGATACATTGATGTGTAAAGACAAAACGATCGGTCTGTGCAAGAAACTGAACAGTATTTATATTGTTTTTTACCTCTGATTTTCACCGCAATGTCCGAACTGTCCTGAGCGCGTTCGCGTCTTCTTCTTCAGCCGGCGCGTGTGGCGTCTTCTTCTTCTTCTTGCTTTACGGCGGATCGCAGACTTATAAGTGCATTACACATCAATGTATCGTCACAAGCCGCAGGGTTTAATTTGGTTTTGTGTGTGTATGTTTTTTGACTCTCAAAGCCGTGATTCCCATTCACTTCCATTATATGACTGACAGACTGCAACGGTTTGAGTTAAAAATCTCTGTTTGTGTTCTACTGAACAAATAAACAAAGTCACCCACATCTTGGTTGCTCTGAGGGTAAGCAGATAAACATCACATTTTCATTTTTGGGTGAACTATCCCTTTAAGCAGCAAATCAGCATATTTTAAAATGATTTCCGAAGGATCATGTGACACTTGATCCTTCAGATGCTTGAATTATGCTGAAAATTTAGCTTTGCCATCACATGAATAAAATATATTACAATAGAAATCTGTTTTTTTTAATTGTAATAATATTTTCACAAAAACATTTTTTGTTATTATATAATATTGTTTTTGCTGTATTATATTTTGGATCTAATAAATGCAGCATTGGTGAGGAGACTGTTTCTTTTAAAAATGATACATTTGAAAGGTAGTGTACGTGAGGAATAATGTACAGTCAATCTGTCTGTTTATTATGCAGCTGCTTACCAAATAAATAAAAAATAATAATTTATTTTTTAATGCAAGAATGAAATCTACCAAAATTATATTGTCTGTCAGTAAACAAAAAAAAAAAAATCATAACATAATTCCAGTTGTATTCCAGAGAGCCAAACAATAAATACTATAACAAATGATGCTACATTATTTCTAATACTCATGTTACACTTGTTTTAAATGTGCTCCTATCATGCTGTCTATGCAACACAAAGCTCACATGCCAAATATCTGTTGATCATATTTAATAAAGATTGTGCTCAGTCCACCTTAAAGGGCCATTTTGAGCAAGAGGATGATTTCCGTCGCAAATAGTATGTTTCTTCGCCTTTCTTGGGTTTTGCTTCTCCTAAAGTCATCAAAATAACCTTCACGATCGGTCTACTATATACTATAAACTTTGATGAAAAAGAATGCAGTATCTGTTTCAGAAAGGTTTTTCACAGGCTTCATGCCAGTCCCGTCCTTTGACCCTGGGAGTGAATAATCTGTGGTACTTTTTGTATCTGTCTACTGTAACTTGATGCTGTGTGTTTTATGAGTTTGGAGTTGTATTCTTATTGAGCCAAAGGAGATTTATGTTACTTGCTCGTTCTGACCTTGATCATAGCATCTGCATACATGCATCAATAGAATTTATGAAATGTCGTACTTTGTGCAGAGATGTTCTGGAAACAAAGGAGCCAAGCTGAATTATATGAGAGCCAGCCTAATTGAGTTCAGCTCCTTTGGTCAGTGTCAAGGTTGTGCGCACGTGACTGAATTTACCATTGGGTCGGCGGGGCACACGTGACTACACATACAATTGACGTTTCGTTTATTCATGCAAATCCATCAAAGGGAAACTAAATATTCTTACACTTGCTCCCAGAATCCTTTAAAGTACATGGACGTGAAAACCAAATCAATGATATGGATGTATGAAGACATGGAGGGAGAGGATGAGGGTGAAGATGAAGATGTCATTGTTGAGATCTGAATAGCCCTGTGCTGATGTAAATGAAGAAGGAAGCCTGTATGAAAAGTAGCGTGAGCTTTTGCATATGCATCAATGCCAATCAAAGGCTTGTCAGGGGTCATGCATTTACATAGAGATATCAGTGATGCTATGGGAACCCAACAAACGGGCGCTCAGTCCACTTATGAATAGAGAGCCCTGACCCGGTCCTTCAGCGCCATTAGAAAAGAAGTCAAGGAAGTTTATTTGGCCACTCGCCCCATCTGAGGGGAAATGATGTTCTTCAGGGTTGGGTTAGGTAACTGTCAAAGAAAAGATGACGTTTTGGTGAGAGATGATGTCTTCCTGGAGCATTTTGTGTGTTGTGGCTGATTTGATGAATTGATGTTGAATGATAAAAAATGTGTTTCTGATTGTTTGATATGGTTCAAACATTTTTAAAGATTTAATTTTTTCTTTTTTTTGTGCTTTTATGTTGTGAAGTCTTGTTTATTTATTTATTTATTTTCATTTCTTACAGGAAGACTGCAAAAAGTAAAGCTTTCTCTGCTGTCCAGTCAAAGGGTAAGACCTCTGTACAAATGACTAAAGCTTGTTAAAAACATGTAGTGTCTGGTGTTAAATGCAGCTGCCAGCTCATTGTGCACATATCTCTTTATTGTAATGCTTATGTTCCACAATTAAAATACACTAGTACTCAAAACACTACCAGTCAGAAGTTTGGAATAATTAAGCATTTTAAATGTTTCTGAAAGAAGTCTCTTATGCTCACTTAGACGGCGTTTATTTAATCAATAATACAGTAAAAACAGTAATATTGTAAGATATTAACAAAATTTAAAAGAGCTGTTTTCGATTTTGAATATATTTTAAAGGGGTCATATGATGTTGCTAAAAAGAACATTATTTTGTGTATTTGGTGTAATGAAATGTGTTTATGCTGTTTAAGGTTAAAAAAACACATTATTTTCCACATACTGTACATTATTGTTTCTCCTCTATGCCCCGCCTTTCTGAAACGCGTCGATTTTTACTTTGCAACTTTACAGATCTTCTTTATGCACCAAGAGCTTGTAACACTCCAAAGAGAAAGAAAAAATTGAAATCGCATCATATGACCCCTTAAAAAAATGTAAGATGAATTTTCAGCAGCCATTACTCTTTAGTGTCACCTTCAGAAAACATTATTATTAATATTTCTTATTATTATCCTTATTGAAAACAGTTTTTGCTGCTTAATACTTTTTTTGTGGAAACTGTGATACTTTTATTTAGGGCTGCACGATAAATCGCATGCGATATTTAACGCGCATCTTGTCAGTAAAGCCATTCTGTAATCAGCGGTAAATCTCCATCACGTGCGGGCTTTCACATGGAGCAGCATTAACTACACAGAGCCGTTGTTCACCGACAAGCTGCGTAAAACATGCGCAAAATATGATCGTGATTTTGCGCAGCTCGTCAGTGAACAACGGCTCTGTGTAGTTAATGCTGCTCCATGTGAAAGCCCGCAGGTGATGGAGATTTACCGCTGATTAAAGAACCGGCTTTACTGACAAGATGCACGTTAAATATCGCATGCGATTTATAGTGCAGCCCTACTTTTATTTCAGGATTCTTTAATGAAATGAACAACATGTACTTGAAATAGAAATCCTTTTTAACATTATGAATTCATTCAAAGGTTTGGGGTATCATGGTTTCCACAAAAATATGAAGCAGCGCAACTGTTTTCAACTTTGATGATAATAATAAATGTTTATTGAGTAGCAAATCAGCATATTAGAATGATTTCTGAAGATCATGTGACACTGAAGACTGGAGTAATGATGCTGGAAATTCAGCTTTGATCAGCAATTACATTTGAAAGATTACAATAGAAAACAGGCATTTTAAATTCCAATAACATTTAACAATTACTGCTTTTACTGGATTTGTATGTATGTATGCTGTATGTATGTATTTATTTTCTCTGGAATATTTTTTTGTTTTTTACTTTGATCATTTTATATCATGTTCATGGGCTAATTTATTTCTGCCCCTTATTGCAACAGAATGTTAATGGTGTACGCATATATTTTTGATTGCAGCATTTTGGGGACAATCAGATGACAGCAATTCTGAGATCGAAATGGCCTTGCGTCCTCAGTCCCGCAACACCAGCAGCCATGACTTTGATGATTTTTATGATTAACATTTCTCTTTTGAGACTTTTTTTATTTTATTTTTTCAATGAGCAGTTAATATGTTTGAAAGAGATGCCTTTATACGATTGCAAAACAAACAAAAATCTTCAGCGAGGAATGAGTGCGACATTCCACGAAAACAAAAAAGAGCCATCCTCTTTATTGTGGCCAAAGACTGTGAAGGGTTTTCAAAACATGCCGGTGTTAACCCTGCTTGAATCTCTTTAGCTGAACAACACTTGGACCTGGTTGAAACAGATTAAACTTGGTTTTTAAAGTGATTCCTTTGCACTGTGTTGAATATTACGCATTTTAGATGCTGCAGGTATCTGGCGGTGAGTTGGAGTGGAATGCTCTGAGTCAGCTCCTATGAAAAGCCAGTGCACAATGGCCACTCTGCATGCTGCTGAAACACCTTTGAACTCACTCAAGTACCCCTGGCCCATTTAGGAGGACAAAATACATTGTGCTCATCTCAATATAGAAACAAACGCTCGCTGTATTTGCGGCGTTAGAAAAGCGATTCCGTCAGCCGAACGTAACGTGTCTCCTCAACCGACGAAATGCACGGTGCAATGTCCACTTCAGAATTCGTCTGTTTTGCAAATGTGCACACATTTTTATGCTCTCAGGCTGATTCTTGTGGGATTTCAAGTTACATTTTATACATTTACGTCTGAGTTACTGTACAAAATGTGACGTGCTTGCTTCAATTCATTGTTATAATATGCCCCTCTAATGGCTATTTTTAGACACCACATGATAGTTAAAATTACAGATAATTATAATTAGGCATTGAAAAGAGCACTGATCAAACACAGCAATATCATTACAGTAATAA